GTTATTGGTGACTGAGGGTGGGAAGGGGAGGGAAAAAGGAGCTGATACCAAGGGCTAAAATAGAACATATTTTGAAAATGATGGTGGCAACATATGTACAAATATGCTTGATACAATTGATGTATGGATTGTCATAAGAGCTGTAAGAGCCCCCAATATGATAATTCATAAAAATTAAAAAACACACAGGGCAAGCATAGTCCTCGTCTACGTGGCAAGCACCCTGGTGGGTAGTGGTTACACATTAGGCTGTTGACCACAAGGTCAGTGGTTTGATACCACCAGCTGCTCCACAGGCAAAAGACAAGGCTTTCTACCTCCATAGAGAGCGACAGTCCTGGAAACCCACCGGAGCAGCTGTACTCTGCCCTCTAGGGCTGCCATGAGTCAGATAGATTTGAAGGCAGCACGTTTGCTTGGTTTTCAGTATGCATGGTAGCCATGGAAGAGGTAGAGGAAGATTTCACACGTTGTGTCTTTAAAAAACAAAACAAGAAAGCATGGAACATGCCTATTCAGAACATTCAATCACATGCACACACACAGTGGTTCTTTTCCTGAAGGGCCATGTACTGGCCGTGTCAGGCAGGGTTCTCTAGAGAAACAAAACCAGGACACTTATGATTATAAATATACAAGAGTTAGCAGTTCTCAACCTGTGGGTCGCAACCCCTTTGAGGGTCAAACGGCCCTTTCACAGGGGTCACCCAAGTCATCACAGTAGCAAAATGACAGTGATGAAGTAGCAACGAAAATAAGTTTATGGTTGGGGGGTCACCACCACATGAGGAACTGTATGAAAGGGTCGCTGCATGAGGAAGGTTAAGCACCACTGGGATAGGTTTATACAGCAAGAAGGAATATAACAGCTAATTAGTCCATACAGCAGTACAGAGGGCTCAGTTCAACTCACTTCCATGGAACAGTTAATATACTAGAAATCCTTTGGAAGCAGAGAGCAGATTCCTCCCTCAGGCAAGGCAGGCAGAGTCTGCCCACAGGCAGCAAACAGCAGGGCAGGTCAGCAACCGTCAGCAGCTCAGGAGCTTAGCCAAGCAGGCCCATATGGGACATTGAATTCAAGCAATGCAAGGCAACAGGATCCACCAGCATCAGGCTCAAGCAATGTACACGTAGCAGAGCAGGTCTCAGAAGAGTCTCAAGCTCTAGTGCATGATCCATGATCCCTGGCTTAGCTGTCCCACAGATGGCGTAGCACACAGACTGAGGCAGAGAACTAGCTACAGCAGCCACACCTGGCCCGATAACCAGAGAGCAAGAGAGGGGTGGGGGCGAGCCTTGCAGAGCCATTTATCTCTTTGCCCTCCAGTCAAACTGCGACCTGATTAATCCCACACGTTCCTATTGGCCAGGATGGCACAATAAACCAAACTATCACACTGATGGAATATGACAATGATGGGTAAAGCAGTTTCCTTCCACCTGCGGCGGCTGGGCCTCTTTCTACTGGTTGATCTTGTCATCCTCTGGTGGACTAAAAATATTAAGCTTGGGTGGTTTTGCTTTTTTGTTTTGTTTTAAAGGCAACCCAAATTTGGTGCCTATAGGATGAAGTAGAACAGCCCCTTGTGGGTTTCCAAGGCCATAAATCTTTACAGAAGCAGATAGCCTCATCTTTCTCCCAAAGAGGGACTGACAGGCTTGAACCACTGACCTTGTGGGTGGTAACCCAATGCATAACCCACCCCACCTGATTTTGAACACCCTAGTTGGGAAGGGAGGCAAGCCCTGGTGGTGCTGTGAGCCAGGTTGCTAACTGCCAGGTTGGTGGTTCAAACCCACCAGCAACTCCGCAGGAGAAAAATGAGGCTGTCTGCTCCCTTGAAGATTAAACAAACCAACAAAACTCCTTTGCCCTGGAGTCGATCCTGACTCACGGCCACCTTATAGGACAGGGTTGGTTTCCGAGACTGTAACTCTTTACAGAGGTAGAAAGCCTCATTTGTCTCTGAAGAAGCAGCTGGTGGTTTTGAGGCACTGACCTTGAAGTTTGCAGCCCAGTGCATAACCTCTGCGCCACCAGGGGTGCTTTAAGGCTTTCAGCCTCAGAGGGTCTCTGTGAGTAGTTAGTTAGTTAGTTACTGGCCTTATAGATTCTGTTTGCTTGTTAGGGTCATTTGTCCAGCCAAGTCAGGGAAATTAGCAGGCCCACAGAAATAAACACGGCGTGCAAATAATATCTGTTTAAATTAAGCTCCCCACAACACAAACGATCAGGAGAGGGGTATGTATGTTCTGTCAGTCATCCACTGGCTCATCCAGTCATTCCTGACCCGGGTCCTGTGACTCCTTCTGTAAGAGGAATTCCCACACACTGCCTGCAGGGGGCAGGCGTGTAATAGAAGTGAGCCAGGCTCACAGAGCGTCCAGAAACTGTCCTGTCTGCCACCAGCTTCCCCATCCAAAGGGAGGGGACGAGGGGTGAGGGGTGTGTATGTGAGCTGGTTCTCAACCCTGCCTGGTTGCCAAGCAGAAATGTCAGCACATAGCAGCCAGCCTTTGGATTGTTTAAGAAAAGCCAAAAAATGTGCACTTCTTTGTGAAGTCCCTTGATTTTTAATCCCAGTGCCATCCCTAAACAGGCGGTGTGTGAATAATTGTTCTGGCGGCTGGCTTCTGGCTGGCTTCAGTGTGGACATGACTGGTTGCCATGCACTGGGGAGGCTTGAGCAGTAGAGGGAAAGCCGGGGGCTCCCCAGGACAAGTCGAGAGCTGGGTGGGGGGCGGGGACAGTGAGCCAGGACTGGGGCTCTATTGTTGTTTTTCCCTCCTTGGCTTGCCACCCTCAAGCCCACATTCTGCACGCCTGAGTTCTCCTTCAGACTTCCCATGTCACCCCTGCAGAGAGGCTCCCCTCC